ATGCTCTGAGAGCTGCTCAGAGGTGTCAGTGGCGAGGGTGTCTTCACCTCCTCTTCCTCTGGGGCTTTCCTGGCTCTGCTGGGGCACCTGGTGCAGCCCAGCTGGGGGGAAAGCACCAGCTCAGAGCTGGTAAATGAAGGGTTTGTCATGATCTGCAGAGCTCTGGGTGTTCCTGCTTTCCCTGAGCCTCTCGTGGGGTTTGCAGGGCCGGGGCTTGCTAAAAATTCAGGGTGAAGGGGAATTAGGATCCCTTAAAGCCCTGGTGTTGTCCCAGCTCAGTGCCATGGGACAGAGGTGACATTGGCAGCTGCAGGTGACATCCCTGTGGGGAGTGGGAGCACAAATGAATTTGCTTCCAGAGGTTTGGGGCAGCAGTTTCTCCATCCCCTGCTCTGTCCATTCCTCTCTGCCCAGAGAAGGGCACTTGCCCCAAGCCATTTCACCCTCCAGCCAAACAGGGAGAAGATTTGTCCCCTCTCCACCTTCCAGGTGCCCTTTGCAGCCCCTGTGCTCGAGGAACAATGCTCCAAAGGGGACAAGTGACACACGAGGAGCCCCTCAGTGCTCCAATGGGCACAGGTGGCACAAGAAGAGCCCCTCAGTGCTCCAAAGGGGACAAGTGACACACAAGGAGCCCCTCAGTGCTCCAAAGGGCGCAGGTGACACACGAGGAGCCCCTCAGTGCTCCAAAGGGGACAGGTGACACACAAGGAGCCCCTCAGTGCTCCAAAAGGGACAAGTGACACATGAGGAGCCCCTCAGTGCTCCAATGGGCACAGGTGGCACAAGAAGAGCCCCTCAGTGCTCCAAAGGGGACAAGTGACACACGAGGAGCCCCTCAGTGCTCCAAAGGGCGCAGGTGACACACGAGGAACCCCTCAGCACCCCCAGCTGTGGCACGGGCACTGTCCCCACCACACCCCTGTGCCAGGGCGTTCCTGGCACTCAGACAGGATCTCTGGGCAGGGAGGAGAGCAGCTCTTGGTGTGGCAGCTTTGAAAACCTCATGTTTGCTTCAAAACTGTGGGTTAAACCACACAAAGAACACTGCAAATCAAGCTGATGACGAGCTGATGCAGCCCAAGGCGGCACCTTTTGAGTCAAGACAGATCAGAAAGCATCAAAACCTCAAAAACCACTCGGAAAGCTGAACAGAGCAACAAGTTTGTCACACAGTTGTCGCAGGGCTGGGGTGTGATGGGGATGGTGGGGGTCAGGCTGTGGCTGCAGAGCCCCTTGGTCCTCCAGGAAGCCACAGATGGTGGAGGAGGGGACAGTGTGTATGTCCTTGGGGACAGCATCTAAGCGGCCTCTCGGAGGTGACAGCCACAAGTGTGGGTGGCAGAGAGAAGGCTCAGTTTCAGCCTGGCCACTGTCCCCTCCCTGTCTGGGTGGAAATAGCTGGGACACATCAGCACAGGGATGCAGGAAGCAGAGCTGAGAGCTGTGGCTGCTCCTCACCCCCAGTCTGAGCATCTTCCCAATTCTGAGCCCTTTCACCTTCCTCTTCTGCCTCCACAGCAACTTCCACCAGTGGCTGCTGCCCTCCCTGCACCCCTGAGCCCTGACCACGGCACCAGCACCCAGAGGATCCATGTTAGCCTGGGGGATGTGGCTGCCACCCCCACCCCACCCTCTGCCCCACAAATTCACCCCGTGGGTACCACAGCAATGCCCAAACCCCTGTGTGGCAGCACAGCCCCATCCCCTGCTGCTCCCCACCCTGTCCTGGGGGTCACCAGCCCCCTGTATCCCACCCATGGCCTCCCCCAGCCCTGTCCCCAAGCTGGGCAGCGCTGTCCCCTCTCCTGCAGGGACACGGGGCAGCCCCAGGGTGTGGGGCGGGCAGGGCTGGGGTGGCAGCAGTGGGAGGTGACATCTGAGGGACCTGAGGGGAGCAGACTGGCACTCACCATGATGTCCCTGTGTCCCTCCCCAGGCAGCTGCTCAATCTCCTGTCACCGACAGCCCAGGGCCATCCCAGAGCACTCGGATTTTGTCTTTCTGATGTGACAAAGATTATGACGATTCTGTTTCCCTCCCACTTCCTCATTTTGCACCCTTCGGTTGTGGGCGTGGGGAGGACAACGGCAGCTGTGCTACCAAGGATTTGGGGGGGGCTGCCCAGGGTGTCCCCACCTCTGCTGCCGCTGCTGGTGAGGGACAGGATGCAGGACAGAGCCCAGCAAGGATGCTCAGAGCCTCAGTGACATCTCCCATCACTCTGCAGTGACAGCTGGGTGTCACCTGTCCAGTGGTGGCCAGTCAGTGCTGGGAGGTGGTTTTAGGAATGAGATGCTTTGGGTTGCATATTTTTTGTTGTTGTATTTTGGGGTTATTTTGGTTATTTTTCCCCCCTCCACTTGAGGCGCAGAAAAGAGTGAGGTTTCTACAGGAAATTGAGGCCTGAGACTGTTCTTAGCCACCCTGTCTCCTGCAGAGTTACCCCGCAGAAGATGGTTTGGGTTAAAAGGGACCCTAAAGCCCAT